ACATTCTCTCTTATCTTGTATGCATTATGAGTTTGGCAGCGATCAGTGAAGTTCGCTTCACTATATTACGCTGTACAACGGTGAATGATGATAGTCGAAGCCGAAGCCGAGCTAACGGCACTTTTTCGCCCAAGTTTACCACCTCCGAAAGCTTCACTATGCTTAGTGGTGGGTATCTCAGGTTTGGGCTGGTAACCCTTCCCTGGTATCTCACAAAATGCTCCTATACGACCGAGCGGCTCAAACAGCCTCAGATGAGGAAGCCCTACTCACTTCTTTCTAGTGGCATATGTGTTTGCTCACCAAAATGAGAGGACGAAACACCGACATCCGGGGCTATAACCGGGTTGATGGACCACTGGTGGTTCACGTAGGGGAGTTAGCCAAAAATCCTGATTCCATACCAACCATGGGGAGGCGTACGAACCAACACTTTTCAGGTTATGGCAATGGTCACCGACTCAATGGGGCATCGAGGTCTATTGGGCACCTTGGACGTTTGACCTCGTCCAAAGGGTGTGATCCGATGAACTGGACACCGGCTCCGAATAGATTGCGGTTTTCACATACCGCTTCGCTGCCTTGCGGACCAGGCTTTGGTTAGCCAATGGCTTCGGTTGTTAATTCCTCAAGAAAGCTCATTTGTCTTGGCCTGGGCAACCTAAAAGTATTTGGCCCATAAGCAATTCGTGGAACGTTTATCTCTTTATAAAGATGGTTGTACCATGATTTGTTTGGCACAGTCTGGTGTCAGACGTGTGTGAAACACAATATACGACAAACCGAAACGAAGTCAATCAATCAGTCCTGAGTTATCCTGGTTTTCGCTGTCACCTTGGTTGAGCATTTAGGTGGATCAATATAACCGCGAAAGATTCGCGATAAACATGGAGCTCAATTAGCCTGCATAAGGTGGTAGCAAGGGTGAAGTAACTGTCTGTTTTGACATCAGTGCTGAACATGAGACTAGCCTCCTTGCCTTAGTTACATGGCAGTCCCTGCCATAATTTCGGAGTGAAAGACAACAACTAATTGTTGATCATTTGCTTCCTTGGATACACGCACTTGCCACCGCTTTCAAGTCACAAGTGATGACTGCGGAGTCCCTTCGCGTATGTTCAGTCTAAGGATTAGTGCATTGTCGAAGTATCATTACATATCGTTCAACACCTCTGAAGGACTTACGGAATTCATAAAAAATGTAGAATCAAAAGCTAGCATATATCGGAAGCTTCCGGGGAAAATGGAGCAAGGTAGCAATGAAGAGATCTTGAACATTGGTTGAGATACTGCTTTTTATTACACACTTTCCTATGATGGACAGCAGACGGAGTAAACCCCATAGTCACGAGGACCTGCTGTTCAGTGACGGAAACCGGTAACTTAAGCCCGAGACTTGGAGTGGCGAACCACAAGGCCACGATAGGTTAGGTGGTACTGGACGACAGTAAAGCTGTCTACTGCCAAGGGTCGGTGGTGGTGGCGGCGCTCCAACCTCCGACCATAGAGTGGAGCAAATTTCACTGATCGCTGCCAAACTCATAATGCATACAAGATAAGAGAGAATGTGTAAGGAGAACAAGAACGACCTATTTTTAGGGACGGGGAAAGAAGGCGAACCTCTATGGTCAACACTCTGAGTACACAGTCTAACTGCGCATACATACTACGTCAAGCATTCTGGTTTGACAAGAAGTGACAGCATGATCGCCATTGTTGTCGGTTTGCAGCCATGACCTTCAGTGTCTCTAGCCATGCGGTTTCGGAGTCTTTTGGACCCCAACCCGGAAGACGAGAGACACATACTCTACCTAATCGTTCTATGCATTTCTTTATGCTCCATCTCCACGTCATCTTCTGGCCTCCACGTGGCTTTCTCCAGCCTGTAACAGCCACTGAAAACAAGGCGCGCTGCGATAGGCGACCGTCGGACATACGCAAACGTGTCCTAACCAACCGAGTCTATTGAGCTGAATTCGATAAGATGGTAAGTTCTTCGATGCATTCCCAAACACCCGACGACTTACTTCTAAGTTACTAACCCGCTCACTCCATCCCACTTGGGCCAGACTACTTAATCATTGAGTGTCCAAAACCACCAGGCGACGGATGTCTTCTAGCCGCAAGTTCAACGTCTCAACTGTACAGCAGAACTGATCGTACGGTGGCGCAGTATATGGGACTTTTCAACTTCAGTGAAACGTTACGTCTATGTCAAAGGTGTTTTAGTCTTGCGTATGCTGCTCGAGCCTTCGAAATGCGGGAGTTTCCTAGCGCTACCGTCGAAGTAAATGAAAGATAGCTGCTGTGGTCACAATCCACAAGGGTGGATAGAAGGATTAGATCGGCAACTGAAGGCCTGTAAGTCTAAACCGTCTGATTAGAGAGGACGTATGTGAGCGCCTACGCTATACTCTCTAAAGTGGGACAGGATATATATATATATATATATATATATATATATATATATATATATATGGGGGCAAAGCAAGCATTCCCACATATATTCTATTATCCTAATAATTCTGGTTTTTTTTGTCACAGAATCCAGGCCGCTGATTATCGTCTTACAGTATTCAAAGATTCATAAATGATATGAATTATTACAGGCAACTCAACCTGAAA